ACAACGGGCAGGCCGGGTATGTAGCCAGGTGCGGCATGCCTGCAGATCCAGGCAGGGCGCGGGGGCAGATCCAGGCCGCGGATACCCAACATGAGTTCCTCGTAGCCATGGTTGCAAGGTTGAAGACTCGAAGGTCCTGCTGTTGAAGTCTGAATACGTTCGTAGGAAGAAGAAGATAGAAGTCTGAATCGTTATTAGCTTTTGCGCCTATTCGGTGTACCTAATGATGTTTCATTTGCTGAATTTGGGTTAACTAGTTATCTGTTGAAACTTTGCTGTACATGTAAAGAAAGATATTATAACTTTTCACAAATTTGCACAGATTTATAATACTAAAAAGATTGCATATATTTATGTCTAATTTTATTGCCAACATCCCTACTAAATTTGTCAAAACTTTAATATTGAAATTAGGGTAAAATCATAAATTTCATTAACAAAACCGGGGTAAAATCACATGGGCAAACTTAGACTATCACTACCGGAAACGTCAAATTTGCCGAGTGTATTACCTCGGGCACTCGGCGAACAAGTTTTTTGCCGAGTGCTGCGCCAAAAACACTCGGTAAACAGGAGGTTTGTCGAGTGTCAAAAAAAAGCACTCAGCAAAGAGAGGGTTTGCCAAGTGTTTTCTTTTTTGCACTCGGTAAAGAAATATTTTTTTTTCTGGGAAAGAAGGAGAAGAAAAAAAAGAAAAAAAAACTTTGCCGAGTGCCCAGATCTAGAACACTCGGCAAAGAAATAAAATCTTTTTTCTGGGAAAGAAGGAGACGAAAAAAATGAAAAAAAAACTTTGCTGAGTTCCCAGATCTAGGACACTCGGCAAAGGACAAAATCATATTTAATTTCCCGCCTCCCTCCCTCCCCTCCTTCTTCTTCTCCCCGCTGCCACCCCCCTCCTCCCTCCTCCCTTTCCGTGGCCAGGCGCCCCTCCCCTCCCTCTTGGCGCGTCCCCTCCTCCCTCCTCCCTCCTCCTCCCTCTCCGTGCCCCCTCCCTCCCTCTCCCGGCGCCTCCCCCTCCCTCCATCCACCATGCCCTCCTCTCCTCCCTCTCCGGCACCGGCGTGGTCCTGCCCTCCCCTCCTCCCTCTCCGGCACCGGCGCGGCCCCGCCCTCCCCTCCTCCCTCTCCGGTGCCTCCCTCTCCGCCGCGCCCCCCTCCTCCTCCCTCTTCGGCGCCGGCGCGGCCCCGCCCTCCCCTCACTCTCCGCCACACCCCCCTCCCCTCCCTCTCCGGCTCAGCCCTGCCCTCCCCTCACAAGATCCGGCGCCTCCCTCTCCCGAATCTGGCGGTGCCGCCCCCCTCCCAGCCCTCCCTCTCCCGGATCCGACGGCGACGGACGTGGTGGTGGTGGTGGGCGTGGCTGTTGCGGCGGCCTGGGCGTGGCGGCGGCACGGCGTGGTGGTGGTGCGGCGTGGTGGGGCGTGGTGGTGGCGCGGCGTGGTGGCGGCGCGGCGAGAGGGAGGAGAAGACGACGGCTTGGTTTTTTTTATTTTTTCTGAAAAATTGTTTACCGAGTGTTTTTTGGGCACTCGGCAAAGTCTTTGCCGAGTGCCCGACAAAAAACACTCGGCAAAGTTAGTTTGTCGATAGAATTTTTGTCGTGTGCCCTTTGCCGAGTGTTACACTCGGCAAAGGGTTTGCCGAGTGTTTTAGTGGCGGGCACACGGCAAAGCTCCCGTTCCCCGTAGTGTATTCGTCCGAAAGTTAACACCGTTAACTGGACTTCATGGAGTAGGAGTAGACTCTTCCTTCAGTTCAAAAAAACAAGGGTAAATTCACAAAGTTTAAAAAACAAGGATAAAATCTCCATTTCGCTTGAAAACAAGGGTAGGAACACTTAAGCCCCATTTTAATTTATCAAACCTATTTTCATCCACTTTCAAATTTGCACAGTATGAAGGATGGTTAATAATCCGGTTGTATGAGCTCTAGCATTTTGGTAACTTTGGAAATAATTACTTAAGGTTTGCATTTTTTTGTTTGGATTGTCTTCTGATGGATGTCCAACACTGGACAGTTGGCGGGAACCTAAAGACCAAGAAAGAGGGGTGACCTCGGGACAATGCGACGCAAGCGGGGCGATGGGCCGCGCAGCCCGTTAGGGCAAACCTGGTGCCGCCGTCGCCCCGGAGCCGGCGGCCCCCTCCCCCTCCCCCTCCCGCCCCCTCCCTTCATCCACCCCCGTCCCTCTCCTTCAGCGCGCAGCAGCCAACCATGGCGGGCCTGCCGCGCTCTCGCCGTTCGAGCCGACGCCGGCCATGGCAGACGGCCCCTCCCCGACGTCGCCAGCGCGGCTTGGTCTGGCGCTCGAGGCTGGCTTCACCGACTCTGATTCCGGCCAGCCCTAGCGTGAGGGTCATGCGGCCGCCGCCTCTGCCCATGGATCCCACGCCGTCCACAACGCTGCTGACGACGCCGCCGCCACCGGAGACCCCACGAGCGTCCAAGGCCACCGCCGTCACCGGCACCCCCTATCCCCTATGCCGCAGGGAGGTGATAGCGCCGCCACGGCCGCCCCGCACACATGCGGCATGTCCAGATCTGGCACGCCCACGCCTCCTCCGACGCTAGGGCTGGACGATGCCGCCACCGCCGTGATTTCTCAGCGCATGGGGGCCAGAGCTGGGGCAAGCCCCGCCCTCGCCGCCGCCGATGTCAACGCCACGCCGACTGGGCCCAGGTCTGGACCTTCGTGGCTCGCCGCGTCGTCGCCGGGCGCCCCTAGCTCCTCCCTCTCATCAGCCGCAGCACCGTTCTTCCCAAGATGCTCCTCGGGAGGGCGTACAAAGTGCTGGCGGTGGGCGGACGATGATAGCTAAGAGACCGATGGTGACCACCCCGCAACCTACCTTGAGGTCGCTCGTCGCCCGGCGAATCTGGTCGTTGCGTTCCCCGTGCGCACCCAGACTCGTTCAATAGTGGTTCTGGGGCACGGTGGAGCGGACGCTGGACAGAGACCTGCGCGAAGGCGGAGGAAGCACAACCGGCCGCGCCCCCAGCTAGTGCACGGCTTGCGCTCGGCCAGTGGATGGTCGGGTCCCTACCAACAAACGCCTCGGTGCCCGCAGGCGGGTCTCCGCCCCCGACGCCGTTGGGTGGCGGGAGATCTTACCCCGACAGGAGGCAGGACTTGCGGCTGCCTCGGTTGAGCCTTGTCGCAGCCTAGGTCTGCGTGCATAGGCTCAGAAGATCCCCGCACAGCTCCGCGACAGATGTTTCAACTGTCTCTCCTACTCGCACCGAGTAGCGACTTGCCGGTTGCCACAGCGTTGCCTGCGCTGTCGCAGATTGGGCCACCTCGCCAGGGACGGCAAGCGGTGTGGCCTACCTCGCCACTCAGCTCGTGCCGACAACCCACCAGCTTCCAGCACGCACACCTCGGCAGTCCACCGACCTTGGATGGGACCACCCAGGGTGTCGTGGGGGGTGCCGACGACATCTGTCGAAGCCGGAGACGATGCCGGCGCCGTAGGGGTAAGCTGGGGACGGACATCAGCATAGGCACGCCTGCCAACGATGCCAACAACGTCACTGCTTCGACTACCGCACGCTGCTTCCTCGAGCCAGATCCGCTTGCAGAGGCGCTGTGCGAGGGCGCAGGGGCTTCCACCAATCGAACATGGACAACAGGGAGAAATGCTGATGAGGCCCTGCTGCATACGTAACGGGGAAGCTGGCAAAAGTCCGAAAGCACGCATTATAATAAGGATTGTTATTTTTTAGGAAAAATATAATAAGGACTAATCATTGGATTCACTCTATTATAATTGTCACTGTTTATCTTGAAGAAAAATAAGGGAGTTGCTAAAATTCTGAATTTTAGCATCTTTTCATGTGTCGATTATTGCATATATTTTATATTAAAATTATAGCTTTAGTTTATTGCAATTTTTGTAGGCATAATCTGCAATTTTTAAGATCCAAGAATAAAAAAAAGATAGATAAGACCACAAACTTGACAAAATCTAATATATATTGACACAAAGATAATAAACAATTTATAATTTTTTTCTATAGTCAGACAAGGACAAAAAATTATTGTGACACAAAGATAATTAACAAGTTATAAACAAATTACAAGAGGACAAATACGCTGTGTCACATGGCCAGCACGTCGCCTAATGAAACTCAAATTTTCAGGCACCTGATGTTAGGAAAAGTGAAAAAATAATGATCACGTTTTTTTGTTCTACTGCACTACTGTTTGTCATATTGGGATGTCGCCTTTACATTTCACCATGTACCTGAACCGTGCCACTTTATTGTGACAAAACTAGCTACTGGTTTTCTAGAAATAACCCAACTTTTTTGTAAAATGATCTAGTATATATGAATATAAACATATGTATAAGTATTATTGTGTCAACGATATGTGTTTGTTGAGCTACCACTTAGTTGTTTATAAAATTAAAGCATGATTAATTCACTAGTATTGTTAGTTACCTGATTAGTTGGTCCATATCAAATTATCAATGCCACAACTGGTTATTGCTGAGTTATTGTTGCTGTTGACCAGGCTGTTACTGAGATACATTTTGCAAGCAAGTTAGGGGTGCACCTTTCCATTATGCTTGTTGAAATAAACAAACAAGTAAAAATCATGTTGTTTATAAGAGTAACTTCAGGTGTTTTCTATAAGTCCGTTGCAGGACATCCAACATCAATAGAATTGGCTATTTCATACCGCCAACTTCAATATTTGCTAGGTACCATTATGAAATCATGGTCGTTTGTCATAAGACACCGCACCATTAAAGTATTAATTTCTCAAATCTAGGAAATTGAAAGGAGGGGGAATAGATGATTTTTCCCATGACTTGATCATCTAACTCATCTTCCCTTTCTCCCTCAAGCCTCGCACATGGTAGGGAGCTTCCCGATGGCGCGGCCAGCCTAGGGGCGTGCTCCACGGTGGTGCGGCCAGCCGAGGGGTAGATGAGGTGGGCAGGGCACGCGACGGCCGGCATGTTATGGGACGGCGTCAGGAGGCGCAAGTTATGGGGCAGAGGATCGAGGTGCGTGTTGCTAACCATGTGGCCAAAGAGGAGAGGATGACGCGGTGCGCTAGGCATCGGAGAAGGACAGAGGAGATCGAGAGAAGCGTGGAGTCAAGAGGTGGAAGACAAATGCAAGGCAATATTGTCTATTCACGTGACATTCTCTCTCCCAAACCATGGAAATGAATACTTAAAGTTTGTGGTGTCATGTGGCAAGTAACCAGATTTTCAGAATGGTACATGGCCAAATATCGAGTTGGCGTTGTCAAACGGCATATTCTACATATGTTTGAGCGGTGTCCCTGAGCAAAATTTGTCTTCCTAAAAATAACTTGCTAAACCAATAAATTTAACGAGTTAACAAAATAAATAGCACATCAATTTATTCCTCTCTCTAGTAGTTTACTATATTAGATTTCTAAATGATTTTGCATTGGGAACCACAAACTATTTCTAACCAACCAAACCTCTTTTAATAGCTCTTATCATTTTCTTACTTGAAACCTTTTATTTTCTTAATTTACTCATGCGTCCAATTTACTTTGATCTCTGGAGAAAAACTATGGATGGGGAGCGGATATAGAACTCCTCTCGACTGCAAAAACTTACAAGTTAGAGATGATATTTGACAAGTTTTTACTTTAAAAGAGCTCTATTACCAAACTATTGGAGGGGATTTTTTCCTTTTTTCTAAAAAATGCTCCTCAGATTTTACAAGCTCCTCAAATTGGTATTGGTGCCTTCATTGCAACTACTAGTGTTGATAGAGTCCTTTGCTAGCCCAATGAATTATGTGAAGGATAATTTGAGAACTAAGATGGAGAATCAATATATAGATGAATGCTTGGTCGCATTTATAAAGCGTGAGTTACTTTTTCAAGTTAAGGGTAGTGATACTTCAGGGGCTTCCAAGTTACTCCCTCTGTTCAGAAATGGCTTATCATTTTTTAACAGGGGAAGTACGAAGGAGCACAAAGTTAAAGTCAAATTGTAATTTAGATATTTTGAATTTTTTCTTTGTTTTATGGATATTTTCATATGTACCTTTAATCATTACCAGAGTAAACTACTCACTCTGTTCTAATAAATTGTAAATAGTTCTAAAAATGCAATCTAGTTTTCTAATTAAAGGAGACAAGTCGGACTGTGCTCATGGCAGTATCTGAACTGGGTGTGGACTTTGCTCGCCTCAGCCCACGGCCTGCGCAAATGTTATCTGGGCCTCCAACACCACCAAGTCCCCTATCCCAAGACAAGGAAGGAAGCTTCCACTGAAACATTTCTTATCCTCAGTTCGATTAAAGAAACATTCCTTGCTCTGCACTGCACTGCAAGAGTCGTATCTTGGTCAACAAGCACAAACAACCTGGCATGTGCCCATCCATGGCCATGGCCGGCACACTCTTCACAATATTTTTAGCTAGCACTAGCATCCATCATCTTCAGTTCAGAGTACAAGTTCGGGTTGGACACTGCAACTTCCCTCACTGCACAGTGCACACGCAGTATATATATAGCCCCTCACCACTCCTCCATCAAATGTCAACAGCAAAAACTACAAAGTCAACGGCAATGGCCACGGTTTTTCCTCCTCCTCCTCCTCCTCCGCCGAGCAGCAAGCCAATGCACTCACCCTGCTCGTCCTGCTCCCCGTCCTCTACATCTCCTACCACCTCATCAAGCGAGCCTTGACGACGACCAAGAAGACGAAGAATAAGCCCACCATCCACGGCCTCAAATCGCACCCGCTCCTGGGCCACCTCCCGGCGTTCCTCAAGAACCACCACTGCTTCCTGGACTGGTCCACGGAGCTCATCGTCGCCAGCCCGGACCACCGGATGGGGTTCTGGATCCCCGGGATGCGGACGGGCATCGTGACGGGGAACCCCGCCGACGTGGAGCACGTCCTGCGGACCAACTTCGCCAACTACCCCAAGGGCGAGCACGCCACCGCCATGCTCCAAGACTTCCTCGGCCGCGGCCTCTTCAACTCCGACGGCGAGCAGTGGCTCTGGCAGCGCAAGAACGCCAGCCACGAGTTTAGCAGCCGCTCGTTGTGGAGGTTCGTCATCGACGTTGTCAGCGACGAGGTCGCTGGCAGGCTGCTCCCGCTGCTCCGGAGGGCCGCAGACGGCGACAGCCGCGTCGTCCTTGACCTGCAGGACGTGCTGGAGCGCTTCGCGTTCGACACCATCTACATGGTCGCGTTTGGGCACGACCCCTGCTGCTTCTGCCTCGCCGCCGACGGCGGCGGGTGGGTTTAGGATTTAGGATCACAGATCACACGATTATATGATGGCTAATCCTAACCGGAATCAAGAACAAATGTAAATCATGCACTGAACACAGAGAGAGACCCTGAATGAACACTGTCGGCTGACAGAGCTCTTTTACTCAGATATGTTTGATCAGTACATGGCAGATACAAATGGTCCAAGCAGTTTTACACGGTGCTCAGACAAGCTACTTATACCAGTAGCGCACACACACAATGACTGGCTAAACAACTGCCTAAATAAGGCTAAACACATGCACAACATAACTGCAGATGAACACGTCAGAACGTGGGCGCGGTCACCACCACTCGGCTTCAGCAGGTTCAAACTTCACCAGTTCCCTCCAACTGCTTCCACGCTTGACTGGGTTGCTTCTGGACTGACTGAGTGCACCAGGGTTACACTCACAGTCTCCCCCTTAACCTTGCAGTGCACTCAAGTCTCTAACATCGAGCAAGTGTCTCATCACCATCAGATTTCTTATTGGCAATGCCTTTGTCGGAGAGTCTGCTTTCTGCTCCCCAACACAAACTCGTTTTGCGACAATCTGTCCTCTCTCAATGCACTACCTGATGAAATGAAGCTTAGTATCAATGTGTTTGATACGACCATGGAATACTGGGTTCTTCATCAATGCTATTGCTGAATTATTGTCAACATACAGTGTCACCACTTTGGTCTTTGTCTTTGTCAGCTCACTCAGCAGACCTCTAAGCCACAATGCTTGCATAGCTGTTGCTATTGCTGCCATAAATTCAGACTCACAAGATGACAAAGCAATTGTTTTCTGTTTCTGAGACCACCATGTGATCAAGTTACCATTCAGGTAAAATACCATTCCTCCAGTGCTTCTCCTCTCAACCAAATCACCAGCCAGATCACTATCAGTGTACCCCACCAATATTTCCTCACCACCAAACTGAGTGTAAACCAGACCCAAATCCCAAGTTTCATTTCTTGTGACAATCTCACCTTCAGCATTCTTTTTCAACTTGAACACCCACTTAAGACCAATGGGTCTCTGTCCACTTGGTAATTTAACCAATTCCCAAGTTTCATTTCTTGTGATTGACTGAAGCTCACTTCTCATTGCTGCCTCCCAGTTTTCATCTCTAGCAGCTTCTCTGTAGCAGGTTGGCTCCTCCATAATTGCCAACATAGCTTCCACATCTGAGTCCTCAATCAAGTCAATTTCAGAGGTATTCTCATAAATCTCATTCAGATTTCTGAACCTCATTGGACTGTCTTCTGAACTGTTGTACTGTTCATTATCTGACAACCAAAAATCACCATTGTTTGTCGATGAATTGTTAGAACCAACCGAGTGTGCACTAGATGGATTCTCAAACACCGCACTACCCCAGCTCCTGCCATTGACACTGTGACTGTAGCTCATCCGACACATTGCTTGTCCGTCTCGCTAACTCCATTTGTGTTTCCACCAGATGCTCCCCCCTGACACTGACTGTGTTTGCTAAGCATCTCCTCCACGATTTCCACTCCCAACATCATAGATTACTGGTTCTACCTCATCAACAACAACAAAATCTGCAGAACATCTTCACCGCACACTGCACCAGCTCCATGGTATAGATTCCTCACAAATAATGTCCCTACTGACAACAACCTTGTTGCCAGTTACATCAAGTAACTGGTGAGCCTTACACCCTTCATCAACACCTAGATACACCATAGGCTTACTCCTATCATCAAGTTTCTTCAGGTGTGTTCCTGCTATCCTAACATGAGCAGTGCAGCCAAACACCTTTAGATAACCAAGATTTGGTTTTCTCCCATACCAACCTTCAAATGGAGTCTTGTCACCCATGGCCTTGGTAGGTAATCTGTTTAACATATAAACTGAATGCCTCACTGCTTCACCCCAAAGCCTCCCTGGCACATTCATACTCTTCAACAGTGATCTAGCCATCTCCATCACTGTCCTATTCTTTCTTTCAACCACACCATTCTGTTGTGGACAATATGGTGCAGTGAGGTGCCTCTGAATTCTAGCTTTCTCACACTCTTCCCTAAATGTAGCTGCAAGAAATTCACCACCTCTATCTGACCTCAGGACCTTGATCTTCTCACCAGTAACATTCTCAGCTTTTGCCTTAAATTTCACAAAGGCATCAAGTGCCTGGTCCTTGGTCTTCAAGACATACACATAACACCACCTTGTGCTGTCATCAATCAGCAACATAAAATACATGTTTACACCTGCTGTTGATGGTGTGATTGGGCCACACAAATCAACATGGACCAACTCCAACTTCTTCTGTGCTCTCCACCTAGCCACTCTTGGATAAGGAGTTCTAGTTTGTTGGATGCCAGACAGGCTCTGCATAGCTGATCTAGGTGTGCTATTGCAGTCACTCCCTCTGCCATCTCCTTGTCAGTCAAGAGCTTCATAGAATGAAAATTTACATGACCCAATCTCCCATGCCACAGCCAAGCCTGATCATTCACAGTAGCCAGAAAGCAAACAGGTACAACTGTTTTCAACTCAACTTTATACAATCTGTTTGGAGTTCTATCTACCTTCATGATCAATTTGAAAGGATTTTTCTCTGACACTTCTAGTACATCATCATCAAGTACTATTCTATGTCCAGTTTCAGTCAATTGTCCAAGACTAATCAAGTTGCTTCTAAGTTTAGGAATGAAAAACACTTCTGTCAAAGCCCACTGATCACCAGACTTAGACTAAAACAAAATAGTTCCTTTACCTTTGATCTCAACCATAGAACCATCTCCAAACTTCACCTTTCCAGTGATCTCATCATCAAGTGTCTCAAATTTCTCCAGATCTCCTGTCATGTGGTTGCTTGCACCATTGTCAAGGTACCACAGATCTCCTAAAGAAGCCCCACCACCAGTAAGATGCAGTTCTAGCATCACATCTCCTTCATGCTGATACACACTCTCCCCCTTGCTCCCTGAAACAACTACTTCAGTCTCTACAAGCATGAGTGCTTGTGGCTCCTTTGCCTCCTCTGCAAGAGCATGATGTGCCTCCTCCTGCTTCTTAGCATCTGGACATCTATTTGCATAGTGTCCATACTTGTGGCACTTGAAACATTTGATGTGGCTTTTGTCCTTCCCACCTCCAGCTCCATCTTTGCCAGATGAATCTCCACGACCACCACAGCCTCGGCCATGGCCACGGCCACGCCCCCGGCCGCCACCATCCTGTGATCTTCCCCTCTCTGAGGAATCACCACCGCCTGATCTCTTCTGCCTAGCTTCCCACTCGGCTTGAGTGAGTAATAGTTAACCACTGTCACTCTTCATGGATCCAGCTCCCCGCCATGTCCGTTGCTCAACTGCCTTCAATCTCCCAACCGCCTCCTTAAACGCCAACTTCTGCAAATCAAAGAATTGCTCGATCCTGGCCACGACATGGATGAAGAGATCGGGCATGGTGTCGAACAACTTCTTCACCATCGCTGCATCATCCAACGTCCCTCCTAGGTTACTAAACTTCACCGACATCACCGTCAATCGTCCAGTGTAACTGTCGAGCGTCTCATCCTCCTTCATCCGCAGGGCATCAAACTCACTTTTAGAGTTTGCAGTCGTGCCTCCTTCACCCGATCTGCCCCAACAAACCGCGCCTTCAAAGAGTCCCAAACCTCCTAGCCACTCTTCTTCTTCTCAACTTGCATCAGCAAATCATCAGGCAAACACTTAAGTAGATGAGATCTTGCCTTCTTGTCTTTGCTTGCTGCCGCCTCCGTCTGCTTCTCCCCCGACGTCCCCTCTGGTGGTTCCACAACCTCCCACACCCCCTGATCCTCCATGATCGCATGCACCCGGATGCACCAACTGGTGTAGTTCGTCGTCGTCAGGGTCGGATAGACCGGCTGACCTCCGCCTCCAACTCCCCGCGAACCATCTCCTCAAGAGGTCGACATGGATCAAGTTTGTGGTATTTGTCGATGCTAGAACGTGTGATCTATGGCTCCGATACCAAATGTAGGATTTAGAATCACAGATCACACGATTATACGATGGCTAATCCTAACCAGAATCAAGAACAAATGTAAATAATGCACTAAACTCAGAGAGAGACCCTGAACATTGTCGGCTTACAGAGCTCTTTTACTCAGATATGTTTGATTAGTACATGGCAGATACAAATGGTCCAAGCAGTTTTGCACGGTGCTCAGACAAGCTACTTATACCAGTAGCGCACGCACACACACAATGACTGGCTAAACAACTGCCTAAACAAGGCTAAACACACGCAAAAGATAACTGCAGCTGAACACGTCATAACGTGGGCGCGGTCACCACCACTCGGCTTCAGCAGGTTCAAACTTCACCACCCCGCCAACTGCTTCCACGCTTGACTGGGCTACTTCTGGACTGACTGAGTGCACCAGGGTTACACTCACACTGGGCGGACGCCAAAAAATCCGAGTTCATGCGCAGGTTCGGCGAGGCACAGGACCTCATCATCGGCCGCTTCCTGGACCCCGTGGAGGTCTTGTGGAAGGTCAAGAAGTGGCTCAACGTCGGCAGCGAACGGTGGCTCAAGAAGGCCATCACGGACGTGCACGCGTTCGCCATGGGCATCATCCGCGCCCGGCGCCAGAGCACGAGCGTGTCGGTCGACCAGAGCCAGAGGGACGACGTCCTGTCGCGGTTCGTGGCGAGCGCCGAGCACAGCGACGAGGCGCTGAGGGACATCGTGCTCAGCTTCCTCATCGCCGGGCGGGAGACCACGTCGTCGGCGCTGACGTGGTTCTTCTGGCTCCTGTCGTCGCGCCCTGCCGTGACAGCGTGCGTGCTCGCCGAGGTCCGCGCGGCGCGGGCGTCCACGGGCACGCGCCCTGGCCTATCGCTCGGCTTCGACGCGCTGCGCGGCATGCACTACCTGCACGCCGTGCTCACCGAGTCGATGCGGTTGTACCCGCCGGCGCCGCTCGACTCGCAGTCGTGCGCCGCGGACGACACGCTGCCTGACGGCACTCGCGTCGGAA